GATGCGGGGAGGAGATGGGGAGGGGTAGGAGAGGAAATAAAATGTATTGTATTGTAATGTGATATATGTAATTGTAGTATGGTTAAAATTTAATTATTTGTGGAATGTATTGCTGATTTGGTAGCAATAAACTTAAATTAATTATTAAGCATTTTGGTGGAAATGTTTCTTTATAGCGTTGCTGGGGAACAGATTGCTACTCAAGTAATGATATTATTTTATATTTAATCAAGGACAGTAGAATCTAACAGGACTGCTACATTCATTGTTGTGACAACCTGCCCGCAAACTACGTCACATCATTTTCCACGCCCAGCTGTTGTTATGGTCTATGCGTTTGCTGTGTTTTTAGAGGTTANGATCTGCTCCGTGGCTATTTCAACCTGATCACAGTTTTTTTCACAGACATCATTCATCACTCATATTCCATTTCACAGACATAGAATATGAGGATTTTTCTTTCTGTAATACAAAATATATGTTATTAATAATTTTTTAATATTACTGAATATTATTTTAGTTATTGCAAACGGGATTTTCGATGTTTACATTCATGAAAACTGTCCAATCCAAATAAGCACTAGTAATAATAATTAAAGTTGCATTCAAATAAAAATGTAATAAGTTTAATGAATTTGGTTAATTTAAGAAGAACACTGAAATTAGTTAAGACACTAAAAACACAACATTTTTTGTCTATTACATTGCAAGGAGGAATAATAAATCTTGATTATTTCAAACATAAAGGAAATGTTTTGATAAATTTCAATAGATTTAAAATTTCATTGGAAGTGATAATGAGAAAAAGAAAACAATAAATGTTGTATATATTTTCTTTTATTTGTTAGCTGTACAGGATTTAAAAATTAAATTTGCTTTCCTAGTTTACATCCACAAAATAATGAAAAAGAAAACTTAAAGATACATTACAGTTTTACAAACCGTGCATTAAAAGATTCAATCACAAAAATGTTAACACAAAAACTCACGCTGATGTGTAAATGAATTATAAACTATACATAATTCTTATTAAATTACATTATTAATTGCCATACTCATATCAATTCTAATAGTTAAATTTAATCAATTAAAAAAAATAATAATTAAACCTTTTATAAATAAACAGCAAATTTTGCAAATAAAATCCTTAAATTAAACCCCAATTCAATCAATTCTTATTACCTAAGAATTATTATATGTAAAGTTTTTAATTTAAATAATTAATAAAATAATTTTTTTATAAATAAAAAATCTTAAATAAAAAAATTAATATAACGAGATCAAACCACTCAAAAACATTAAAAATAAACCTATAATAATAAAGAAAAATAATCAAAAACGAAAGAAAGATTTTTTTCTACGTAAATAAATCAATTTTTCAATATTTTAAATTTTTCTCCAGCTTAATCACTAACACTACATAATTTCATTTTTCTTTTTCTTAATCTTTTTAGGCGTATATAAAAAAGGTGAGATTCATTCTATGTGTTATACAGATCTCTTCAAAGTGACACAAAAAAAAAAATTAACAACAAAAAAAAATGTTAGAAGAAGAAATACTGTCTTCGAAAGCGAAAATAATTAATAATAATATCGACGCGATTACATTTAATGTTTCCTTTCATTTACCGAATTTCAATTTCGATATAATCATTTTATTTTGACGCCAAAAACATAATCAATCTAAAATTAATAGTCTTAGCGGAAAGAAGACGATTACATTCCGCCGTATCCGGCAAAGAAAGTGGTACATATGGACTTTCATTTTCTTGCTCTGAGAAATCAAAACGATGAATTCTTGGATTTATTTTCATATCGCCGAAAGGTCCTCGCAGAATCACGTAGTGTATACTTAACGGTGAAGTTGTTTTTGTTTTTAAAATCAACTATAATAATTAAAAATAATTAATTAGATATTACTCATTTTTTTCTTAATTTAATAATAACACACCTGATAACTAATATCTCTTTCTGTACTTTGAGTTGGATCCTTTTGACTGTTATTTATTCTCGCCTTAACAACCCATTGATTGTTAAAAGCCGAAAATCGGGATGTTTCGTAAAAAAGACGATGCACAAATTCGTCTGTACGATATGGTTTTAATTGAAGATCTGATAACAGAAAATTTTCTTGTTAAATTTATCGGACATACAGTGAATTTCACTTAAGATGTAATATATTAAAATATATTTCCATAGAAACCAGAGCGTCCCACATAAAATGTAACATAATCTAGTGCTGAATAACAAATAATACTAGACTAACACTAGCAGTAGAACTAACACTAGGCCAAAAACTAGAAACATTCCGTTTAGCCATAACTCTCTTAAGATGGTTGGTATTGGAAGGCCATGAAAGAATCAAAGACGAAATGCTGTTTTCTACAGAGTTACCGATAACTTTAAAAGCAGTTGATATAAGGTTCGTTCCAACTACAATTTTGACTGCCAATTGATGGTCACTCGCCTACGCAGTTGCAAAGACAGCTACAGTGATACAAGAAAGTCTACATACAGCCCAGAAAAATGATAATATCTCAGCTCACGAAATGTAATTCAATGAAATTTTTTAACAAAACATGTAAGAAGTCAAGGGGAACACAAAACATAATCATATCTTTAATTCAAAAAAGTCTACATACAGTCCTAAAAAAAAGTATATCAGTGTCCGTTATAGCTCAATAAAAATACCGGAAGTTGCTTATATCTCCAGTAATATTGGAATGAAACGTATCATGTTTGGGCTCATTTTGAATGACGTGATGCATTTATATCAAAAAATAAAAAAGATAGAATAAAAAACGTTAACCTTGAATATTTTTAGTTCTCAAAAATAACTACTTGGAAGAATAAATAGCGTGAATATACTCGACTTGAATTAATATTACCAGTAAATATAACCGACAAGTACTTACTTGATAGTTTACTGGCAGATGAATATACCGGGCCATAGAACTAGGAACGTCTCTAGAACTAACATTAGACCTAGAACTAGAAACATTCGGGCTTAGTCGCACGTCTCTCAAGACTGCTAAACCCGAATTATTCTAGTTCTAGGTCTTGTGTTAGCTCTAGTGATTGTGCTAGTGCAAAGCTAGGTGAACTTGGACTTGCTATAAACTAATCCTTATACATTTAGACAATTTTTTTTATGATTATCAACTAGTTTTCAGTCATTTTGAGCAAGATGGATTGTTTAAAAACTAGTTGTTAATCATTAAGACAAGTATAAAATTATGCTCAACCAATTTTCAATGATTTTGAATAACATGAGATAGCTATGAACTTATTTCGAAACATTTTGTTACCTTATAAAACAATTTTGGACAATGTTGGTGCAGTTTTCAGTTATTCTGGGCAACCTAAACTTGCTATAAACTAGTCATTATACATTTAGAAAAGTTTTTAATGACTATCATCTAGTTTTCAATCATTTTGAGCAACATGGATTGTATAAAAACTAGTTATTAATGATTTAGACAAGTATAAAATTATGCTCAACCTATTATCAATTATTTTGAACAACATGAGATGCTATGAACCTATTTCGAAACATTTTGAACAATTTTGCTACCTTATAGACCAATTTTGGACAATGTTGGTGCAGTTTTCAGTCGTTGTGAGCAATCTGAACTTGCTATAAACTAGTCATTATACATTTAGACAAGTTTTTAATGACTATTAACTAATTTTTAGTCATTTTGAGCAACATGGATTGTTTAAAAACTAGTTATTAATCTTTTAGACAAGTATAAAATTATGCTCAACCAGTTCTCAATGATTTTGAACAACATGAGATGACCATGAACTTATTTCTAATCATTTTGAACAATTTTGCTACGTTATAAACCAATTTTGGACAATGTTGGTGCAGTTTTCAGTCGTTCTGAGCAACCTGGACTTGCTATAAACTAGTCCTTATACATTTAGACAAGTTTTTAATGACTATCAACTAATTTTTAGTCATTTTGAGCAACATGGATTGTTTAAAAACTAGTTGTTAATCATTTAGACAAGTATAAAATTATGCTCAACCAATTTTCAATGATTTTGAATAACATGAGATAGCTATGAACCTAGTTCGAAACATTTTGCTACCTTATAAAGCAATTTTGGACAATGTTGGTGCAGTTTTCAGTTATTCTGGGCAACCTAAACTTGCTATAAACTAGTCCTTATACATTTAGACAAGTTTTTAATGACTATCAACTAGTTTTCAGTCATTTTGAGCAACATGGATTGTCTGAAAACTAGTTGTTAATCATTTAGACAAGTATAAAATTATGCTCAAGCAGTTTTCAATGATTTCGAATAACATGATATGGCTATCAACTTATTTCCAATCATTTGAACAATTTTGCTATCTTATAAACCAATTTTAGACAATGTTGGTGCAGTTTTCAGTTATTCTGGGCAACCTAAACTTGCTATAAACTAGTCATTATACATTTAGAAAAGTTTTTAATGACTATCAACTAGTTTTCAATCATTTTGAGCAACATGGATTGTATAAAAACTAGTTATTAATGATTTAGACAAGTATAAAATTATGCTCAACCTATTATCAATTATTTTGAACAACATGACATGGCTATGAACCTATTTCCAAACATTTTGAACAATTTTGCTACCTTATAGAGCAATTTTGGACAATGTTGGTGCAGTTTTCAGTCGTTGTGAGCAATCTGGACTTGCTATAAACTAGTCGTTATACATTTAGACAAGTTTTTAATGACTATCAACTAATTTTTAGTCATTTTGAGCAACATGGATTGTTTAAAAACTAGTTGTTAATCATTTAGACAAGTATAAAATTATGCTCAACCAGTTCTCAATGATTTTGAACAACATAAGATGACTATGAACTTATTTCTAATCATTTTGAACAATTTTACTACGTTATAAACCAATTTTGGATAATGTTGGTGCAGTTTTCAGTCGTTCTGAACAACCTGAACTTGCTATAAACTAGTTCTTATACATTTAGACAAGTTTTTAATGACTATCGACTAGTTTTCAGTCATTTTTAGCAACATGGATTGTCTGAAAACTAGTTGTTAATCATTTAGACAAGTATAAAATTATGCTCAAGCAGTTTTCAATGATTTGGAATAACATGATATGGCTATCAACTTATTTCCAATCATTTGAACAATTTTGCTATCTTATAAACTAATTTTAGATAATGTTGGTGCAGTTTTCAGTCATTCTGAGCAACATGAACTTGCTATAAACTACTCTTTATACAATTAGACAAGCTTTTAATGACTATCACCTAGTTTTCAGTCATTTTGAGCAACATGGATTGTTTAAAAACTAGTTGTTAATGATTTAGACAAGTATAAAATTATGCTAGTTCTAGTTCTTGGTCTAGCGCTGTATGTTTCTAGTTCTAGATCTAGTGTTAGTTCTAGTTTTGCACTGTCATTAGAACTAACACAAGACCTAGAACTAGAATAATTCGGGTTTAGCCGTCTTGAGAGACTAAATCTACTGCTGTAGCCTTCACTTCGTAGCACAAGTCAAACTGTTTCGACTTTGTATTGAAATAATATAGACTTCAAATATCCTTCATTTAAAAAATTCATTGAATTACATTTCAGGAGCTGAGATATTATCATTTTCTGGGGTGTATGTAGACTTTATTGTATCACTGTACATATCTCTGAATTCTTTGACAAACATGAACTGTCATAGAAAAAGTTGATAGGCATATGCACAGAGGACGCTCTCTTAGTGCTTGGCTCTTGCTCAGGATTCGTACAGTTGGCCAAAGAAAAAAATCCTAATGTAATCGTTATTCATTGTTTTATACACCATCAAGCTTTGGTGGGTGTTTAAAATTTTTGCGTTAAAATTGTCAATTATGTTACTTTTTACTTTATGTTACTTTACTTTTTGCGGAGTTGCGCTGGCTCTTAAAAGGATATATGTTAGCAAGATTATATGAGCTTCAAGATGAGGTAGTTTTGTTTTTAGATCTAAAAACAAACTGAACTGTATGAAGAACAATCAACTGTCCTAGCAGTAGTGACTTATCTAACGGATATTTTCGATTCCTTGAATTTACTAAACTTGAAATTACAACGTGGAGACTCGAACATAATTCATCATCGAGATGCCATCACGCAGTATATTGAAAAATTGCAACTCTAGAATCGCAAAATTTTAGCATGTCATTATTCTTGCTTTCCTAAATTATTTTCAATCTCAACACATGCGCGTTTTAAGAAGGTTTTTGAGTTAGCCATGGATCCTTTTTATGTTAAAATAGATGACATTACAAGAGCAAATTTTGGAAATTAAAAATGATTCAGATTTTGAAAAGATGTGAAATATGACTTATCACTATTTTGGGAAAAATATCTCAAAGTTTATCCCAGCACAGCAAACCAAGCGACGCAACTGTATTTACCCTATTCCAGCACTTATTTGTGCGAAGGGCGCTTTTTGCTGTTGTAACAATAAAATTCAAATATAGAATTAAATTTAATATTACTAGTGATCTACGTTGTACACTTCCTTCTATTCAACCTCCAATTCAACCACCTACAATTGAAAATCTTGTCAAAAGTATGCAAGGTAGTCGTGTATTAATGAAAGTTCTGGAGCGGAAGTTGCTCCCTGTACTCCTCATGCACTGCGCATGCGCGCCGGATCATTCGGATTTAGCCGTCTTGAGAGACGTGCGGCTAAATCCGAATGTTTTTACATCTAACTGTTATTCAGCGTTAGATTGTAGTATATTTAACACTAGACCTAGATTTAGCAACATTCGGGTTTAGCTGCGCGTCTCTTAAGACGGCCAAAAACTTAGGGTTGTCATAAGGACGTCAACTTTCTCCAAGCAAAACTTATCTTTTGCAAAACTACCCAAAGCTATGTTGCATTTTATGTGGGATATTATTTCATAACAAATTTTTATTACCATTAAACGTAATTTTTTCATATCCAAGAAGATCAAATATATTTTCATACAATCTCCTTTCATCAGCAACTTGCTGATCAATAACCTGAAGAGCCTCCATAACTTCAGCACCACTACGATGAGGATGAGTACATTCCAGTTCATGTTGGCGCGTCTCATGGAGAGGACCCCTCCAAGGACAACCAATACGACTGAATTTACAACCAGATATTCTATAAAATTCAAAAAATTTAAATAAAATATTTGAAAATATTTTTTTTTTACAGAAACCTTTCTTCGCAGAATAAATCTTCATGCCTTTCCAATGAATTCCTTGGAAATTCTTTTCCACAATACTGGCATTCGGATGGTAATTCAGAAACTGCTTTTTCCACTGCTAAATTTCTAGTAGCAACCGTTTTACTGATTTCAACCCGACAATTTGGACAGGTTGCCATTTCATCGCGAAGTCGAGCATCGGCGAGAAGGTGAGTGAAGCAACCAGCGCACATCAAATGACCATTGTTACACTGTAATAATACGCACATATATATTTAGATTATGTGTGGAAAAATATAAATATTAAAAAAAAATGATGACACATCTATAATAAAAACCTAAATAAAAAGGAATACATAAAAATATATCTTCCAATTTCAGGTCTTCGGATTTCTTCGCGTTTTCTTGATTATGATTTGTAATATTTAAAAATAGATTTTTGTTGTAAGAATCGGAAATAATTAAAAAAAAATGTTTCTTAAAATACTCACCAATCTTCTTAAAACACCCTGTAAATATGAATAAGCCATCAATTAAAAAAAATTATAAGATTTCATATCAAAAAAATGATAATAATAAATAACAATGAGAATAGATATTTTTCGACAATTCACGTAATAATTTGTCTTAACAATTTACGTTTAAGGCTTACCTTTATAATTAAAATTATTTCTTTTAATAAACCGTCTGCTCAACGATCATTTCTTACAGATGTTGACATAAAATGAATTTTTTTAGGTTAAGATAATGAGCTAACTTCAGTTAGCTTAAACTTCAAAAAATTCACTCTTAGAATATAATGTGAAATAAAAAATACAAATTTCTAAATCACAATGACATTTAATAATAATATATTATAAAATTAATAATTAAGAATTATTATTTACAAATTTAGGAGATATTTTGACGTTTTGATTAATGTCAATTTTGACAATGAAGCTGTCAAATTCTTAAAATTTTAAAGTTTACAAGTAAAATTAATTAAAGAAGATTTTTTCTGCGAAAGAAATAATTGTTGATTATAAGATATTTAAAAATAGGTATAAGTGAATGAATTAAAATGTCTACAGTCGCCATTTTCATCAACCTACCTTTCTGTTGAAGGCGTTATATGTATCTCATGATTTATGATGAAATCATGCGAGGTTAGATATTTTTTTCAAAGAAAATGATAAAGTTGAACGAAAAAAATCGGGAAACAGGGAGGTAAAAACTACTTAGCTAAATAATGAATCACTAAATTATACGGTTAAAAAACGTTTATTGAAAAAACCTTCTAAGTTTTAAATATAAAAATATTTAGTACGGAAATAAACGTAGATTACACTATAAATAGTAAATAAATAACTTTTAAAGATAATATTACTTATAATTACAAAAAAATCAATTTTTTATGGTGTATTATACAATTTCATGTGATTACTGTTTGTAATTTTTGGTTTACACATACTTTTTTATATTCTTATTTTTGTTTTCAGGAAAAATAAAATGAAAGTTAATTTGAAATTAATTAGACCGCGACGAACCGAAAAATCAATTTGTTGTTATCATAATATACAAAGAATAATAAAATATTTACAACAAATCTCTGTGTACACATACGATGATATGCGAAGAACAAAGAAAAGCTAACACACGTTTAAACTCTTATAAAAGAGCATCTTTACGCCTGTTTAGAAATCAATAAAATCCTGCAGCCACACTGCAGTAACAACAAAGAAAATAACGATTACGTAACTTAAAAAAAATCGTTTCCAAAACTCGAAATTTATTTTTTTTAAGTTCTCTCAATCCCCGTAACTCGAAACCCAAAGAAATAAAATGTGCCCAAAAAAAATGTAATAACATCGGAAATGTATTTATAGATAGAGTAAAAAAGAAAAATTCTTACCTGATAAACAGCGGCCCTTGGTAAATCTAAGCAAACTGCGCAGCACAAAATGCCGCCTAATCGTTCCTCGAGTTTATCCTTTTTCTCATCTTGCTGTAATTCATTTTTGCCCAATTTTCGACGTTTCGCTTCGGGCTCAGCGAACTCTTCCATCTTTTCAACGATTTCCGCGGACTCCACCACGCCCTCGGTACTAGAGCTCGCTGCCTCAGATTCTGACATAATTCGTTTTTGGTATTTTACTTGCTGTGTATGTGTTCGTTTACTGCTGTTGACTGGCCTCGATTTTTCCGTGTCGCACACAGACCGTCAAAACACCAACAGCTGAGAGCTCTACTCCCCCCGGCTCTCGGGACGGGACGACGGAAACCAGAAAACAGCTGTCGTGACGTAGCCCGTTTGACAGCCTCTCTCCATACGCCGCCGCCGTCGTCGTCGTCGTCGTCGCCGCTTTTCGTTGTTCTATTACAATTCGTTGTTGCCCCACCACATCCGACTCGACGAAATTGAGAAAAATAAACTAAATTCGCGTTGCGCCGTTTACTATTCTATGTTCTGTATGGTATTTATATTTATAAAATATATTTGTATAAATAACAGTAACAATGTTATAAATAGATAAATTCATGAGTCATCTGGTTTATCTCCTCATAGTCTGATTGACTCCAAAAGTTAAAAAAATACTCATAGACTGATATAAATCACTGTATTACCGACATTGTTTTCATGTTTACATTTGAGATTATGAATCAGTGCGATAATAAATAATTATACAAAAAGTCTGATTAAGATAACAATTAAGTAGCCCGGAATCAGACTTGTAAACTTTGCTTCATCTATGAATATGGTTATTAGCAGCACATTATTTCCAAATGGGCAAATCACGAATCAAATCTACTGCAGAAGCTATAGAGAAGCAAACTCTCAGAGCTCTAATGCAAGAAATGGAAAGGTGGAGAAAAAGATAACAAGGTATGACGTCGAAATACTGAAAAATCCTGAACAGAGATTTATAAATATCACTTGGACAATCTTGAAGACAATACCAGCTGAAACTGCGAAAAACGTGCTGGTCCAAAAACCAAGATAACAGCAAAATGATAGGTTCTGATTGATGAAACATTAATTAGAAAGAGAAGTGAAATACTAAGAAGATGGTGAAACCACTTCAACACACCATTGTACTCTGACAGCGAACAATAAAAATATGCACAATCGAATGTGAATCAAAGAACGCTACCACTATCTAGACAGAAAAATGCAAATTACTAAATATTCAGAGAATAACTATATAGCATATAACTCTGCGTTTCTTACCTCGTGAGGACATAAATAAGTATCATAATGTACAGCTTTGATTGATGTATAGACAAGGTGACGAAAAAGGTCATTATGGCTAACCAGATCTGCCGCAGACTCCTCGTAAAAAACTGGGGTTAAACCACGAATGTGTCATTGGGCCTACGTAGCAATAATCAGACCCATGGTCGTCCACGCCTCATTGGTTTGGTGGCCAAAAACAAAACATAAGGCAGCACAACAACAGCTGGCACAAATCCAGCGCTTAGCATGTCTTAATATAACGGGTGCAATGAGACCTTGTTCGATGGCTGCTCTTCAAGCTCTACTCGGTCTCACACCACTTCATTTATATATAAAAAAGGAGGCAGCTGTAAGCTGATGCAGGGTAACCTCAGAGGACACCTAGAAATGCTCAAATCACTTGATTGAAATTAAAACGGACCTTATACCGACAGAATACTATTTCGACCAGCCATATAAGGTCATATTTAGAAGCAGGGATGATTGGACGAAGGGTGGGCTCCAACTAGAAAGAAGAGTACACGGATGCTTCAAAGATAGTCGGATCCGGAGTAGGCATGGGCATTAGTGGGCCAAATAGCTGTATTAAATTGCACCTCAGCTCGGACATAACCATTTTTCAAGCAGAAGTAGTTGCTATAAACTTGCATTCATCTTTTGCTATAAAAAGATGCATCCATAAACATTTTCGCAGACAGTCGGGCCGCCCTAAAGGCAATTCAGGCCTACACGTGTGACTGCATGTGCTACACTGATCAGAGAGTGTACCAGGCAGCGAAAACGCTCTTTATTGGACCCCAACCCGGTTGTGGACTACAAAAAAACACTTAAAACAGGTAATCAATAGCTGGGAGGCCTCAAAAGTAGCTTTACGCTGGAAAAAACTTCCAGGTCACAGACAAGCGAAGAGTATGATAACTCTGTGCCAAAACAAAACCAAAGACGTTTTATGCCTTAGCAAAGGGGATCTAAGGACGCTCTCAGGTTACCTGACCGGCCATGCGCCCCTAAAATACTACCTCTTCCACATTGGACAAGCTGAAGATCAAACTTATCGACTTTACAAGGAGCTGCCTAAGACACAAAATTTTCAGTAAGTCTCTTTCGACACCTACCGACATAAAGGGACAAGACCTTGGAGCAATACTTAGGTTGGTTTTCTTTTTAGGACCTACATTTGCCCTAAACTTTTAGAGGCTAAAATTACAATAGATTTTATAGGTCGCGGTGACAAGAGGAGTCTGTCCCCTCAGCGCAGCAGCAATAATAATAATTTTGAGGAAATATGAAACTTTCCTCATTGCAGCGGTTCAATTAATGACAAAGATGTTATTCTCCAAGCATCGTTTATGTCAATATTAGAATTAGGGTAGGAGCACCGTTTATGGCCACTGTACCATTTATGGCTATTTCAGAGGAAGTCGTTGCGCATTAAGATCTTAATAGACAGTAGTTGAAAAGTAAGTGCATTACAGGGCTTAGTCAGACCTTAATTCAACACAGACTGTGTTAGATGATGTTTCTGATATTGAAACAATTTGAAAATGGTTTCCATGTTCTAGCTAATGTGCTGTGCTCAAAAATGGTAAAAGCAATGCACATTTAATCTTTTATTATCTTTAGCGCCGTTTCATATTTAAGCGAGCTTATGAACTATATGATCACAAATACGTTAGTTTCAAAGTATTTAATAATGTTATAACTATAAATTGAGGTGACCATAAGTAGAGCGAATTTTGTGAAGTTTGCCAGTTATGGCCATGATGTGGCCATAAGTGAATTAGCGTAAACCCAGTTATGGCTATTCTGTTAAATTTGATACTTTAATGAATTTTGAAAACTCCATTTTCCAAGAATAAGCCCGGCAAAATGTGGTTTACTTCTTTCCTAAATAGACACCTAGAAGCATGCTGAATATGTCAACAAGGCAAGGGGCACTGTTAGTAAGGGAAAAATACGGAACTGGTTTAAGGAAGTTGAAGTTTTACTCACAGAAGAAGAAATTGTAGCAATAAGGGATCCAGAGCGCGTCTTTAATATGGATGAGACTTGCTTCTGTTTGGCTCCAAAAGGAGAACTCATAGGATTTGTACTTTAACAGCAGACTGAAAGTGTTGATCCATCAACATCATAAACGTACTTGCCACGCCTAAACGGTCTCTTGCCTCAGTGTTCAATAATATCATTCCTTGACCACACCATAAACCGACAGTACGAGAAAGGAAAAAAGAATATACTCCAAGCATTGTTACGTCTGACAAATGGGTGAAATATTTTAAACTCAAAGAGAAAGAGAAGAAAGTTCAAGAAGAGCTGAAAATGGAGAGAAAGAAGAAAAGGGAAATGCAGAACAATAAAGTAGAGGAAGCGCAAAAGGCAAAGAAGACGAAGAAGACAAATGAAAACTGTTTAGAGGAAGAAGAGTAGAATGAAAGCGGGAGCAGCTTAGATGATTTTGACGATATTGAGACAGAAAATCAAGAACAATTGATATGTATGGAGTTACAGCCCTGCAGGAGTGTGTTGCAAAAATTTTGTGCGTGTTGGAAAAGCTAAGATCAGACTAATTGTAAGACATATTTCAAAGTGTTAGACAATGACAAATGTGCCATTGAAGAACTCTTTGGAACGCTTCCAGAACCCGAACTGAAAAATGTTAGTCGAAAAATGACTCGTTTTCCGCAGTGCTGTAGACGTATTTGCAATAAAACAAATACAACAATAAATGTATTCATCTCCTTAACTTTTATTGTACCTATGTGCCTAATAAAATCTAAAAATTGTACTTTATTGCGGTTGATTTCTACGCAAACAAATTATGGTGGCCATAACTGGGGAAATTGATTTACTTTTGAAAATTGTTTTTTGTGTTTTAAAATACTTGATACACAAATAAAATGGAAGGTGCCTATTTGCAACAAGAGCTAAGAAACACTATTTTGATTTTTTTCTCGCATGTATTCCTATTTTGAACTGAGGTACCGAAATTTAAAAGTTGAAGAGTACTAAATGTGGCCATAACTGGTTTCTCTACCCTACAAATGTTTCTTCAGTATTATACTTTTAGCACTAGTCAAATTATTTGTGTTGATATTGCATGCTAAAGTTGAAGTTCACATGGAGGTGTAATATGGCGTTGAAAACGATTTCCTTATGTTAATGTTGGTAATAAAACATTTACTGTAACAAAAAATCAGAAAACTTGAGAATTAATTGGTAATCTTTTGAAGTAGACTACCAGCAGATTTAGCACATATATAGGGCTTTAATAACACAATGAATTATGCATGAACTCAATTTATAAGTTCAACTGAATCAGTTTATTTAACCATAACAAAATAAAAAATCAAAATTTATAATTTCTCCATCTTTATTAATTACCTAAATGAAGAAAATCCATTAGAATAATCATCTTTTTCTAAATTCCAAAGATCTAAAGCGCCAGCTTCACCACCAGTAATCAAAAAATTACCCTAAAATAAAAATTAAACTCAATACTAATCAATAAACTTGATTAAATTAATCTTACATTATGATTAAACCAAGAACATCTCACAATTTGTTTATTTTCAATAAAATTATATGTGGGTACAAGTTCATTCTTTGCAAAACGAAACCCTCCTAAATTTTCTGTTTCTTCATTATCTCGCCCAATTAAAACATTGATACAATCGTTTTTAGGATTTTGAAAAACATCGGCAACATAAAAATAATCTTCTTCCTTATTGCTTCCCTTCAATATAAAGGGAAGATCGCTTTTATTAAAACTTTTATAAGGATTTGCATCATCCATTTTCCAAAATTGCAAATCTTCTGATTGTGTTATACAACATATACAATCCGTGTTTTTATCTTTATACCATTTTAATTTAGAAATGGATAACATGGTGTTTAATGAATCTATTAATGCATCATCTTCACATGATTGTGATAAATCGTAAATGTTTATTAAACCATCATTAGAACCAGATATTAATTGATTCATATCATTGGGATTAAAAAGAACTTGTGTGATGTCTTCTGTGTGTGATTCCCAATAAGCACCCATTAATTTGCATTGTCTTATATCCCAAAATAATATGTAAGCGTCTGTGGCAACTAATTCTGTTCCACCAGATAATAATAAGTTATTTGATGATATATCAAAACAGCTCAATATTTTTGAAGGACCATCATTATCCACTGTTGTATCATTAAAAATGTTTACTACACTTGTTTTTAATCTACTATCCCAAACACTTATTTTACAATCATTTGTACCTACATAAAATATTCTTTCATTTTCAGGGCTTATTTTAACATCAACAATATCATAATCAGTTTGAAAACTTTTAATTAAATAAATATTGCTATTTGATACATCATATAGTTCCAAAACATGATCTGAACGGGCAACAGCAACGTTTGAATTAATTCTAGAATTAAAAATAGTTGATTATTTGCGTTAGTTGTAAAATAACGTTCAAATTACATTGATCCAGATATATCGGTTATGTAGCACTTTTTATCTATTTCTTTGTGAAATATGTGTGATGTTTTTAAGTTAAAAAGGCGATTTATTTCTTCTTCCGATTCATAATTACCACAACTTTCTTCAACAGACATAATTAAGGAGTAAAAAATTTTTAAAATTGGGTTATAAACATAAAAAACACGTGTTGTTGACGTTTACCATAACCTTATAATTTAAATTATCAAATATTATAGAAGAATTTTATTTACTTTTAGATTTTAATTTTATTGTAAATTATAACTGTATATTTATGATAATAAATAAATTTGAATAATCTTTATTTTTAATTAGTTGATAAATAATTTAATTATAATTTAAACATTTAGGGATTTTTAAATTTCATGGTTGGTAACTAAACGTCAAATTTTTTATCTCTGTCAAACGTGAACTTTTAATCTCTAGCTCAAAACAATTATTTTGCGAAGAAAAACGGTAATTTATAACTAAAAAGATCATTAAAACATAAAATTTGATTAAAACTTCCTATTTATATTAACATAAATACTTTAATACAATGTCACAAAGTATGGCTTTGGCTTCTTTAACAGCTACATATACAGATTCAGAAGGTGAAGATGAAGCAAACGATGATAACGAAAACACTGGTTCGGTAACAGTTCATTCTAATTCACCCGATACTAAATCAACCCCCACATCTCGTCCTGGATCACCTGTGCAGGCGAAAATAACTAGTAAAGTTTCTAGATTGGTATCTTATCATGATGACACAATTGTTTCGGATGATGATGCTGAACCGAATACAGAAAGGGAACCTGAAACGATGGTAATTATCGAAAACGAAACTCCTCCCATAGTCGAAACAGAAACTATAGATGAAGAAGGTGTTAATATTCCACCTGAACCACCCGGACATTGTTCTGCTGAGATACAAGAAAAAATTTTAAGGTTACACGATAGAATGCAAAGTGAGGGATTGGACATGAATATGATTATACAGCAAAAAAAGAATTTTAGAAATCCTAGTATTTATGAAAAATTAATTCAATTTTGTTCAATAAACGAATTAGGAACTAATTATCCCCCGGTTATTTATGACCCATCGAAATGGAGCAAAGAAAGTTATTATGAAGAATTATCAAAAGTACAAAAAACCGAGATGGAAAAACGCGAAAAAGAAAGAAAAACTAAAGTGGAAGTCGTTTCGGGAACGAAAAAGCAAGAAGAAGAAGCTAAAAAGCGAAAGAGCAAATGGGACCAACCTGGTGGAAATTCTATTAATTCACACATAAAACCTGCCGGATTAGTTCAACCTTCCTTGACAAACACTGCAACAGGCACTAAAGCAACTGTAATATCAGCTTTCGGATCTTTACCTAAAAAACCTAGAGCATAATTTTTTAATTAATTATCTTTTCCTCATTTTTTTTTTAATTAAGATGTAAATAAGTTGATGTAAAATTATAATTTTAATTATATTTTGTAGTTTTATTTATGAAAAGTTATTTAAATGACATATGAATGACATTTAGGATAAATGCTAGTCAAGTGTTGTGTACACGTGTCGTGTTGGTTGCTATAGAAACGTACTAAAACACAGAGGTCGGTGTTGTCAGTTAAGATCTGACATCTATCAGCTGATCGAGTAACTTTAGTAAAGGAGACGAGTGTGCGCTCTTGTTGTGTATTTCGTCAAAGGGAAAGGGAGTTTAGAAATGGCCGCTGCGTGTAGTGGTCGGAGTGCGATGGATCAACAGCAAACGGGGCCCCAAAAGGCGGACACCGTCGACCGTTTGAAGTCGTTATATCCGGCGGTGAATGATGATAAAACCCCTTTACCCAGGACGTGGAATGCCGCCAAGAACTATACCTATATTGGCCTGTCCCAGAATAATCTGCGTGTCCACTACAAAGGTAAGATAAAAAAATTTTTCAAGGTTTTAGTTTTTTCTTTTCCAAAACATAATCCGAACGATACGAACCGTGGGTTAATATTTAAACGATTTCTTTTAACCGATTGAACTGTCAATGTGCTGGCGATTGCTAAATCGATCTTTGTTAAAAAAAGAAACCAAAAAAATAACCATGCAAACAAAGAAATCAGCTGATCGTGTTGGTTTTTATTAAAGGGTGAGTTTCATTTTTTATAAAATCTATAAATAATCATCCAATAATGAAATGTTTCATTCACTGAAAATATTTATGTAAGTTTTGTTTACACTAAACATTTTTTTGACAGCACAAATGTTTGACAGTTGAATAACAACTTGTTATTTTTTGACGTTTAAACGTCATTTTATAAATTAACATCCGTATTCCTTTCGTTTTTCCTGACTCTCGCAATTTTACAATCCCCGTGGTCGTCTTGGTTGTGTTAGAATTTTCTAATTGGAAGCTCTCTTGCTTCATGCAACCACAACTTTCACTGAATAATATTTACAAAATCCTTATTCATAGCATTTATTTCAATATTTAACGTTTTGTTGTCCATTTCGTTTACTTACCTTGAAAGTGGAACATGTGCGTCTACGTCATAAAGGCAACAAAAATAGTTATTTCCTTGATATGATTCTAACTAAAAGTGGTACAAAAATTAAAGCTAAATTGTGTTATTGAATATTTATATGCATAAAATATGAATATGATGCACGTTCAATATTTCATGGCCACAACCATTGTTTTAGAAGGTGATTGTAAACAAATTCTTCGTTGTAAACAACTGGCTGGATTAACTGAAAGATTTACATTATCTTTTAAATAACAACAATTTATCAGTTATTCATTTAATGGATTATTCCATCATTAATGTAGACAATTTGTCGTAGTTTAGCATAAAAATATTTATGTACAATTTAATTTGTTAATTTTAGATGATTGAAATAGATTGTTTTGATGTGAGAAAATGAAAAGTACGTGTTGTATTGTTTATATAAAATTGGTGTGGTCATTAATAGTGTTTACTCCTCGTTCATGGCCGATTGCGTAGCAGTTTTTAACGGTTTATAATTGCGTATTCAGTAGCGCAGGAGACCAACTGCTACCTGTACCTACCTGGACAATACCCCAACGACTTTGTAACAGGACCAATCCGGTCCAAACTCCCAAGCAGAATCCGCGCTCCACCAACAAACAGAACTTGTCCGTTGGCCCCTGAGCACCAGCAGCTTCAAGCCAATGACCCTTTCGATACGATGTAAACAACGCACGAAGCTTATTTTTTTAAAGATTCTATAACTTTAAATCGAGAAATAATCTTTAAAAAATAAATAACAACGATAAATGAAAAAAATTTCTTTTTAATATGGTAATATTATTATTAAAATTAAACTCTTTACTATTACATTATATTAGACTTAATAAGCATCAAGTTTTCTTATTACTTTTAATAGTACTGTCTATAAATCGCGATTTTGAGAATTTTGAGTCTAATCACAGTCTATTCCACATTATAGTCTTTTGATTTAGTCCACATATCTTCCCAATTCGCGACAGGATGATCCTTTATCGTCATATAAGATTCTGGAGTTAAGATAAGAATTGCTAAGATAAGATTGCTGTTGGAAGATAGAGAGTGATGCGGAAGATATAATCTCGAGCTCTACTCAGCATATAATTAGTATACAGGGTGTCCCGTTAAGCGTACGGAGCGGCTGTATCTCTAGAATGGTAAAGCCTAGAGGTTTGGGAAAAAAATCCTTATAAGCAAAGTGACCAAGAGAAATAGCTGGAAATTATTTTGAAGTTCGTAATTCGACCGCTAGGGGGCGTAACTGCCATAGAGAAACATAAAATTCCCGCTATCTCAAAAAGTTAGACGATGAGCTATAACTTTGACAACATCATTAATAGCTTGGATAATACCGCATCGCTTTTGTTTTGCGATATTTCTCATATCTGTCATAATAAGGGAGGGGGAGGCCAATGCGTTTTCATATGTTTACATTTTAATATCTCCTAGACCATTCAACCGATTTGAATATTTTCGGTGTTGTTTGAAAGAGCATTTTATGCTCTTTTTAGAGATATTTTCAGTAAGACCGTCTGCTTAAAAACAAATGAGCTAGAGGACGTTATCTGCAGCGATTACATATTTTTATGATTTTTGAAGAAAAGTTAAATGGAACGATACTATTTACTTCACAGACCCTTAGTCACCTTAAAATTTGCAAAATTTTAGTGAAAACCGCATCTCGTTATCGCCACCCGTTCTTGAGTTATAGAAGAAATGTTAAAAACTCGAGTGCCATCAATCGGATCCAGTTACCTCATCGAGAAAAACAAATCACATAACCATGGTAACTGTAAACATGCCATTTACTAACGCATCATAGAGCGTATGATGATTTATTTTCAATGTTTCGAATACGATGCAACTGCATGGCAAAAATGTGCAATGCAATTACGACAAAGATTGACATTTTTCTCTAGAAGTGTTTTTAAGATTGACTTAGCGATTACGGAAAACTGGCAACGTGTAGCCCATTCAGACATCTCTATGAATTCGTAAATCACATTGGTGCGCAATGTGATCCCACATAATCTGGGAACTCCGAAAACAATTGTCCACAAGAGTTCTCAAGAGAATAATATCTCCACCACGTTGTTTTACATCAGGCCTTAACAGATACCGATTATGATAACAGACTGAACTATTACCATTGACTTTTAAATATGATTTGGGCAAATCCAAACCTTTTATCACAAATGCTATGGATGCATGAAGCATCTGTCCACAAGCTGATGTAAACTTGCATAATATGCATTCTTGGTTCGAGCAAAACCCACATTGCTTTCACCCCTTTATCTATTGGGTAGACTAAACGACCTGACTTTTCAAGAAAAACCAATAACCAGGGAAAATATGACAAAACACTAAATACCAGTAAAAACGTGTCCAGGGCAGAGACTTAAGCAGCGCTTTTTTTTCGTCGAAACTAGATTAAATAAATGCATCGAGGTTTATGGAAGGCATTTCGCACATTAGTGAGTTATTTTTGCCAAAAATTTAAGTTATTCTAAGTGTTTTGGTTTATTTTGTTTTATTATCATTGTTGATGTTTCATTGATCCGTTGGCTTTTCAACACGCCTCAAAAGTAGTTTTGAAGCAGTTCTAAGCTTGGATAAAGTGTGAAGGAAGGTTCTAGATAATAAAATTTTTGTTCTCTCTTATTTGTTTCCTAAGGTAACTTGATCCGATTAAGATATACGAATTTTTAACATTTTCTTTTATAATTCGAGAATGGATGGAGATATCGAGATGCGGTTTTCACTAATATTTAGCAAATTTTATGGTGATTAACGGTCTGTGAAGTAAATAGTACCGTTCCATTTAACTTTTTTTCAAAAATCACAAAAATATGTAACCGCTGCAGATAACGCCCTCTAGCTTATTTGTTTTAAACCAAGCGGTCTTACTGAAAATATCTTTTAAAAGAGCATGAAATGCTCTTTCAAACAAGACCAAAAATATTCAAATCGGCTGAATGGTCCAGGAGATATTAAAATGTAAACATTTGAAAACGCATTGGCCTCCCCCTCCCTTATTATGACAGATATGAGAAATATCGCAAAACAAAAGCGATGCAGTATTATCCAAGCTACTAAATGATGTTGTTAAAGTTATAGCTCATCGTCTAAGTTTCTGAGATAGCGGAAACTTTATGTTTCTCAATGGCAGTTACGCCCCTAGCGGTCGAATTACGAACTTCAAAATAATTTCCAGCTATTTCTCTTACCCACTTTGCTTATAAGAATTTTTTTCCCAAACCTCTAGGCCTTACCGGTGTTGAGATACAGCCGCTCCGTACGCTTAACGGGACACCTGTATATAAAAATCAGTCGTTTGCACTAAATGTGATATGTCCAGACAATGAAAGACGATGACAACCTAAGAGAATATCAGCATAAACTCCCATTGGATCCAAGACAATATATCTCAACCAGATGGAAGATGACATCAAAACTTTTGGCATCGTCAATTGGAGTAGAATATCTTGTAACGGAACAGAATGGTGGAGGATGCTGAAACAGGCGAAGATCCAGAAAGGGTTACCAATTTTCTTCCGACTTTAATATAACACAGTGTAATACCTCGGCCTCAAGCGACCTCGGCTTACTTAAGACGAAAAGTACAATGTTATTGTAAAAAGCCGAGGTTGTTTGCTTCCGAGATGCTACATTTAATACTATTTTTGATAACGCAATGTAATACCTCGGCCGTAAGCGACCTCGGATGAAAAGAACGCTTTTATTCCATTAAGACGATTTCGATTGCGCCTCAGATGCCATATTTGATACCATTTTGGATGACACATAGTGTAATACCTCAGCCGCAACCGACCTCGGCTTAATTAAGATAAAAATTACGATGTCACTGTATAATTGATGAACTTACTAATGAATCATCCTCGACTCAATCTTCTTGAACTAGTTTACATTAAAACATAAATCTATTAAAATTAATTTTGGATTTTTTGTACAAAATACAAAATTTTATCTTAAATTTCTCTTTATCATTCTTGTTTTCTCCATCTCTTTTCAGTGCTCATATAGTATTGAAATACAACAAGGGGAAGATGTACCGAACGGCCGTTGACTCACGGTTTGATGTCCGACCTTCATTAACTTCGGCTGGTTTTAGTTGTGTGTAACAGACAGCGTCGCGACGCTTCTTTTACGGCGCAATCGTACTCGAAATTCTAAACACCGTCGTCTCGGATGTGCTCTTTAGTGACCCTTGATGATCGTGTCGATGACTCACACCCGAAAATCCTTATTAAAATCATAGGTTTTTTTATACATCTTCATATTTTCTTTGTATATTCTAACTAGGAGCAGACGGAGAGAAAGCAGTAACTGCTGGGTAATAGATTACACTAATAATCGTAAATTTCGCAAGATAAACAGAAAATAATTCAATTAATAACTCAGTTAATAGTAATAATAAGCCGCTTAAAGGTTATTTTTGTTTGTTCAATTCAAATTCAACGAGGAGTGGTTATTTTCTAGTTAGAAACATGTTTCACGTTGACCTGTGTTATTTATTTATTATGTGGCACAAAATACAAAGAATCTAAACAAAAGAGAAGAGAGAGAGTTAAGTTTGGATTTTATGGTTGATTAAACATGGACAATAGCTGATTATGATTTGGTTCAACGAAGAATAATTAACTGACGAGTATTTTTTTTTGTATGGGTTGGGATGATGTTTATTTAAAAAATCCTTATTTAAAAATTATATTGAAATCATTTAGAAAAAAATTTCTTTGTTGTAAATGCGTTTTCTTTGAATATATTAGATTAGTTTAATGATTTATTTGTGAAACAAACACAAAAAGATAAAAAGGTTTGTTGGAAAAGAAGGTTATCAAAAAAAAAAAATAAATATTAAGCTTGTTTATTTTAAAATTATCATTAAAAGTAGTTATAAATAATATAATGAAATAAATGCAATATTTTACAACGCGCAAACGTTTTTTGCAATGTTTGTGTAAATATCGTTCGATATTTTGAAACGTTATACTCCGTCAAGTGCAAAGTCGATTGTCTTTCCTTTTTGCCGTAATATAAATTGCGTGGAATCGAGGAAGGGGAAAACGGAATCGTTAGAAATGGCACTTTGAAAGTGTTAAAAATAGATAAGCGCTTTCACGTAAATTTTAATTCTTCGTGTATGGGTTTCTGCAATAAAACTGGAATCGAAGAACGAAGTGATTGATTATGAAACGGATTAATAAATATTACATTAAAAAGCAAATTTTAACACATGCTTTAAATTAATATTTAGGTGCAGTCACTCAATGCGATTAGCTTTAACCTAATTAAATGTTGAGAATCAATAAACTTTTTCACGCTAAATTACAGCAATGAAATAAAAGAGCCAAATTAATACGTATAAATAGGTTTAAAATTTAATTTTCAACAATTTAATTCATTATACATCTTATTTAAGAATTTATAACAGATTTTTCTGGGTTGCCTATACGTACTGAATGGATTTGATTTATTAAATCTCATTGATTAACTATATTTAACCTATAAGTACGAAGGCTTTCACGGCCTGTGTTAATTAAACTAAAACTAGAACTAACATTAGTACTATCACTTGAACTAGAAATTTTCCGGTTAAGCTCTGCGTCTTTTGAAGCCCTGCGTGCTAAACCTGAATGTTTCTAGTTCTAGGTCTAATGTTAGTTCTAGTGACAGTGGTAAGTAGCGCTAGCTAGTATAAGATATCACTATGTTGCATACTTTTATTGAACTAACACTAGGTCTAGTGTTAGTTCTAGTTTTAATTGTTATGCAACGCTAGACCAAGAACTAGAATCATTTGGGTTTAGCCGTCTTAAGAGACGTCCGGCTAAACCTAAATGTTTCTAGTTCTAGTAACAGAGCAAGTATAAAACTAGAATTAACGGTATACCTAGAGTTAGACTCATTCGAGTTTAGCCGCACGTCTCTCTAGACGGATAAACCCGAATGATTCTAGTTCTTGGTCTAGTGTTAGTTCTAGTTTTACACTAGCACTATTACTAGAACTAACACAAGACCTAGAACTAGAATCATTCGGGTTTAGCCGTCTTGAGAGACGTGCGGCTAAATCCGAATGTTTCTAGTT